TTTTTTATTTTTTTTTTTCCAAATGAAAGCCACCAGCCAGGAAACTTTCACGGTGTCGGTTCAGAAAACAACTTTCATATCTCTCTCTGTCTCCCTTTCTAATCGAAGTCTCCTAGGCGATTCCCAGAGACCAAACAAAACTACAGCTCACAGGAGCTGAAGTTCTTACAGCGCTGCTGCTAATGTGGCACGGCCTCAGGTTTTTCAGTAATACTGGTGTGGGGAGGAAAGAAGCCCTGTAAACTGCGTGTGGACCAGAGTCTTTAGAAGAACTCTATGACTCATTTATGTTGCCTGCCTGACATAGCAAAAATGTGCAAAAACGGTGAATGGTTTACTTACTATTGCTCTCCGAGTGCCCTGCTCAGGAGCCAGATTCATAAAGGTTTTGCTTTGTGAAGGATGCTGCCTGGGAGTTGGATAAAAGACTTCTTAATAAAAAAAAAAGTCCCAGCTTGTTTCTTTTCTTTTTGCTGTTAAAGTTTTGGCAGTGCTTACATATGTAGCCTTAATTGGTGTATCACATGCTTTGTCGAAACTAGACTGTTTTGTAGCCTCAGGATTTCTTCACTGTCGACAATGCTGTGGCTGTTAGGATGTGAACATAAACACTCTGAACAAAGAAATGTTTTATAAACAAAGCTGAGTTTGGTGCTCTTGTGCTCTGAGGTTACCTGCAGTTGCACTTTATAGCAGCAGTGTGTTTCTTGGTAGATTCTGTAAAAACATTGTCAAATGTGAGTATGGCAAGTTTAAGCCCTTCACTTTTTAAAAATTTGTTTTTCCTTCAAGGAAGAAAAACAAACAGCAGTAGCAACTTGTAACTGAGGAGTTTCTTTGCTCTTAAAAACTTGAAAAAATTGCTGGCAGAAATAAGTGTTGAAGAGACAAGGTGATAAAAATTGATACGTTAACTCTTTGAGAACTGAGCAGTATATGTAAACCATTCCTCCTCTCATTCCTTTGAGGCAAGAAGATACAAAGCATATTTTGTAGATAGTTTTCTTACCTTTCCTTCTAAACAAGTTCATTGTCTAAATTGCATTTCAAGTCACAGCAAACTGAGAAGAACATTGGCATCTTTCTGATCTTTGATTCACTCTCATAATTGGCATGGCTGTTAAATTTCCTTAAACTTTATATTAAAATGGGTTAAAAAGCCATTTTATTCTAGATCTTAGAAATTGTAAACAAGTATGACTTGTTCCCTGTGTGTGGTTGGGCAATACGTAAAGCCTAAATCTGGTTTAAAGCCTGAAGTTACTGTCAGATCATGCCCCCTTACATGCCGTGATCAGAACCTGGGGAATGTAAGGCTGTATGGGCAGTCGTACTGGGATGGGCCATAACTCCACCTGTCAGACAGAAGAATTTACCTGGGAGAGGACCTAAAAGCAGACTGATGTACATTGATATTTCCCGATACTCCTTCCAGAGTTGTGGGTTGGTTGTTTTTTTTTGTGTAGGAATCGGTGATTTTCTTTCTTCCCTGAGCTTGCATGTAGACTTCTAGCATCCACAGTGTGCTGTGGCAAAGAGGCATGCAGTTCAACTGCCTTTTGCACGAACAGCAATGTCCTGATGTTCATTTTGAACCTGGCTACAAAACTATTTGGTGCCCCTTGGCGTTTATGTTTGAAGAGTTAATGAGTACATAATAACTTCCCTCTCCGTGTTACTTGTGACCTCTGCTGTATTTTCCTATCTCCTTTTCCTGTATTCTCTCTCTTCTGGGATATTCACGCTTATGAGATCATGGAATATATAGGATATTCACAAATACCAATTTTACTGAAATGTATTATCATATAAATAAACCATGGGGATTATGAATGTTGTGCAGACAAAATTCTGTACTCTTTCTCAATAGTTTATTATACTGCTAATACTTTAACAATGCTGTGTTTGTTCTGATGATAATGTTACGTTATTAAATGATTTATGAAAAGAAGTTCGTTTTGGAGCACTTGACACTTAGAATGTTTAACATCAGTTGTCAGATTTTGCACTTACCAGTGAGGCAGCTAAAATAGGAGCATAAATACCACTTCACTACATCCTTAAAAACAGTCCTACAGCAACCTAATGCAAAATGAATCAAGGAGTTCTGTATGTTTTTGACAGCTGATTATGTCTTGAGTTTTCATTTTAAGTCCTTGATGGATATACTTCAAAGCTTCCCACAGTTTTGCTGAACTGTGTAAGACCTTTGTAGCTTGTTAATGCACAATTTGCTCCAGCAAGCTATAGCTTTATACACTTCTGCATTTGCTGAGTGCCTGTTAAAAGGATCTCTTCCTGTTAAATCTCTTGCTTAGAAAGTACCAAGCCAAGTTAAAATAGCTTCAGTACCCTGCATGGAAATTATTTTTGCTTCTTTGAGTTCTCTTGTTTACAGAGTGGTTTGGCCTCTTGAGCTGCTGTATTTACCAGCTCTTCCAAGGCCGCTCAAATGCTTACCATTTGTGAGCTTGGGGAGGAAAGTCGTAACAGTTAAACTGACTGGCTGCTACTTGGGAAAATCACTGGGCAGAAGTGAAGGCAGTCACTGAAGGGCTTTGTTATGGGAATATCTTGTGCTGTTTATCCAAACAACATCAGAGTTTTTCCTGGCTGAACTTTGTTTTCTGGACTACATTGTCTGAATGTATTAATGAGTTGTGAGAAAGTGTGTGTGTATGTGCTTTAGAGTAGCAGTGGGGCTGGGTGGGCTGTTGATTTAAAGAGCAATTAATGTGTATGAAGGGATGGGTGAGCATGGAGAAAAGAGTCAGACTTATGTTAGAAAAATAAGTGAATCCAAGCAAGAAGGTCTGAGAGCAGGAGATCCAAGTATATGCAACAGTAATTATATCTAATGCTCCATGTTCTGTCGTATTTGTACACTTTGACTGTCACAGTTGACTTCATGAAGTGGAATAGTTTGTTGCCTGTATTTGAGGGTTGTTGTTTATGGTTTTCGCTTGTCTGTTTGCTGGCCCTTGCAATTTTAATTTAGTGAACAGAGAGGTTTGCAATGTACGCAGTTGGTATGCTTGCTGTCTCAAGACATCACTTCCTTAAATTGCAGGGGGTGTAAACTTTTCAAAACAGGGGAATGTGAAAAAAGAAAAGTTGCCATAGCAACTATATAAGAAAAGTGTACATCTTCACAAGCTTTTTTTAGTCAAAACAATAAATTTGAAACCTTGCTTATCCAAAGGATTACGCAATTGATGCATTGACTGATTTGGGTGGGTAGTACATAGTTGGCTCTTAAAAAGTTTGGAAAAGGTTGTTTCTGCTTGACTTTTCTGTCCACTTAGGAGTGGATTGAACTGGAGTGTTGGATCAGCCGGTGAGTAGCATTTGTGTAGTAAGCTAAGGAGTTGGTATAGCATGTAAAGTACGTTTGGATTAATGAACTTCCATGTGACTGAAAGCTTGTGGAAAAAAATCATAATGGTTTGGACCAGTGGGATATGTTTGAAGTGTATTTTCTGTCACTTACTGCCTGTCAGTGGCACAGAGCCAAAGTTTATTGATGGGCTAGCACCTAAGAACGGACGGTGTAACAAACCTGGGTATTTGGCAGAGCTCAGATGCCATTAGCCAGTGGTTTGGAGCTGCTGGGAGGAACCATTTTCCCAAATATAATGTCTGGGTTTTGTTTTGTGGGCTTTTTGGGGGAAGTGGGGTTTGGTTTTGTTGTTTTTTTAAAAGCAGAATGCAGGGAGGACCTCCTGGAGGACAGCTGGCACATTTAATCAAGTGTTACATTTGAGAGAGAACAGGACACCAGGCATCAGGAACTGGAGGAAAATCTGTCCAGAAAGCAAGCCGTTTGCAGGATGGGAGGAGTGTTCTTCACTCCTTCACACTTAGCGCACGGTGTTTCAGAATGAAGAAACCGCAGCAATATGTGCGTATTCGTTCTGCCAACTGCTGCATAGTGATTACACTGCAAGCTTCAGCAGAGCTGTAGATAATTTAACGATTCATACAGAAACAGAGGATGTATGTAATGTGACAGTAATCATCGTGTGGTGTTTTAAAGGGTCAACAGCCGTTCTGAGAGCCAGGGCAGCAGCCCTGGTGGTGTTCCAAGTTGAGGAAAGGCTGCAGTTGGCCCTGGGGACGGTGCATCAAACCTGCGACTCGAACTTGGCTGCCTTCTCTTTGAGGGTTGCTCAGATTTAGGCTGGAAGTGGGGCACTGACTGGATTGGCTGCCCTGCTGGCAGCCCCTGAGGAGACGGTGTGGATATGTATTGCAAACACGAAGGACAGCGATCTCTGAGTGCAGCAAATACAATATATTTGCAAGTGTCAGTTTGACTGTGCGTGCATTGATGAAGTGCATCGTATGTGTTGTCAAAACATGGACTACACGGTTAGCTTTATCGCCATTCACATTTTGCATCTCTTGCTTAATGCAAAACTGCTACATTATGCATTCTGTTTCAGTGACAAATTTATTGCCAGCTTTATGGTTTCCATGAGAATGCCAGGAAATTCTATTTAAATGAACACTTTAGAATTTTGGTCTAAGTGCATGGAAACAAGTTTTGTAGCCTCTCCAACATCAGTAAATACATGTTTATGACTGTATAAATATAAATTTCGAATATTTGGCTTAATAATGACATAAAAAATTAAAGTACCGCAGGTTTTTATGGTGTGTAATTTCACTTTCAGGAGATGTGTGCAAAGCAAACACTGGCACACAAACTGCTTATGAAAAGCTTTTCATGCTTGACATTTTCTGGAAGCCTAATTTAAGTTGCCATTGTCCTGCTTGTTGAAGCAGGGGGAAGGAATAATAATCATGGGCAAGAGAAGATGATTAACTTTTAATTAAAAGCCTAAATTATGACAGGACTGACTGTATTTAAAAAAAAACAAAACCAAACAAAAAACCAAACAAAAACAAAAAACCCCAACAAAACAGACCCCAAACAAATAAATACCCAAACCACAACCTTCCTGCAAACTCATAATCTTGTCTTTTCTTTTTAACCAGTTACCAGTTGGGCCAAGACAGCTGATGTGAATTTATCCAACTCCTTAAATGGTTTGAGCTTCATGGGAATTCTGGACGCAAGAGTGGGCAGTGGTGTCCAGGCCCTTCAAAACTTGAACTCTGGGACCCCGAGATCTCTCTCACTGGCTGAGTATGGGCCTGGCCAGCTCTCCAGTGCTATAGAAGATTGTCATAGCCTTAAATCAGTGGATTCTGGTATTCCGACTCTAGAAATAGGAAATCCAGAGCCTGTTCACTGCAGCGTGTTAAATGTGAAGAGAAAGCAGTCGGAGCCTGAAATTATGCCTGACAGGGCTTTTCAGAGTGCGTGCCCGCTGCCGTCGTATGTGCCTCCACATCCTCTGACTTCTGAACGTGACCATGCCGTGCGAAAATCCTCGACTTTCCCAAGAACTGGGTATGACACTGTCAAACTTTACAGTCCAACCTCAAAGACTCTGAATCGAAGTGATGATATCTCTGTCTGTAGTGTTTCCAGTCTTAGCACAGAGCTGTCAACAACTTTATCAGTTAGCAATGAAGACATTTTGGACTTTGTGGTCACAAGCAGTTCAAGTGCAATTGTGAATCTCGAGACTGATGAGGCACACTTCTCGGATGTTACCCTGAATTCCACTAAAGAGAGCAATGATCAGAGCCAGCAGGAGTGTTGTCAAGAGACAGATGTGGACAGTAAGCGAAAAATTTTGGGACCTTTTACAAGCTTCTTTGCCAGGTAATGTTTCCATAAAATATACTTGTATTTTAACAGTGAGTTCAAGTAAGATCATAGGAGAAAGGCCTTGTGTGATGCTCTACTTTGAAAGAGGTAATAGCTTGCTACTTTAAATTAAACTGATATTAACAACATATATTTTTCTGTTCTGATTAAGTAGGCAAATACTGCTATGGACTAAAGCTCTGAATCCTACTCTGTCTTATGTTTGATATATGGAAGCATCTTTAAATCTTCTTAAAAGATTCCTCCTACGTTACACTAAAAGGAGTTCTGAACAAGGTTTTTTTTACTCTGAGCAAGGGTTTTCTTCCTGGCTTCTCCAGTGATGCCTTTCATGATTTTGGCCAAGGTCCTTAATCTCCTGTCCTATAATTAGTTAAATATTGTAGGATCCATACCTGTATTGAAGGGCTTTGGCACCTAAGGATTTGTAAATGGTCTGGTAGTGATGGAGCATTTTATTGATCAATGCAAGTGCATGAAGCTTAGAATACAATTACTTGCCAAACACTTGCATGACTACTATGGTTTTTCCAAATCTCATTTATAGTTTTGTTAATACCTTTTTTCCTTACATTTTTATATTAAATGAGAGCATCCGACTTTTTGTCACTCAGTTGTTGAAGTGAAGGCATTGGCCTTCATGACCTCTTCTAACCATGACCCTTGTGTGAGCGATGAGGTATTCTAAATGCAGATACCCAGTGAAAGTGGTGAATGACGAAAAGGGCAGGTCTGCTGCTTGGGGTTTGGGTGGTTTGGTGGTGGTTTTTTGTTTCTGTTTATTTAAGGCCTTCATAATGTCTCTCATTTTTAGATTATAATGCCTGAAATATGATATATTTTGAAGAAACAGTTCTAGAAATAAACTTCAGACACCAAGCAGAGTTGGTTGTATCTAACCTGTTTTGAACATGTGGTTGCTTCAGCTAATACCTTTTTCCTCACGTAATTTTTTTCTTTTGCACAAAATGAGGAGGCTGATAAAATACTGAGAGAGTTGGTAAACATTTTTTAAAAGGCTCCCTTATTAGCAAAGCTGAGGAGAAGCAGTTTCTTTAGACGTACTAACCTGGCTGAAGCCTTCATTTATTTTTATTCTCGGGTCAAAGTTAGAGTGCAGAGCGGCAGAACTCCGGCCATCAGTCATGTTTGAGGTGCTGAAGCTTTGTGGACCTCCGTCTGTTTGTTGCCATGGAACCAGACTCAGTGCTGCAGGAGGCTTCTCTGCGCTTCAAAGCACGAACCTTTGTTACCCGTTTTGGTGGCACAGCTGCTCACTCAAAACAAATGCCGTCCTGCAGCCTGGAGGGGGCACAGTGGAACAGGCATATTTAGGCCCTGCTCGAAGTAGGATGTTTAACTGCTTCTCAGCTTTTCTCATCCAACAAAATAAAGCCGTCTGTCCAAATTCTGTTCTAGTGTAGTCTGTAGTGGTTTTGTCAGTGTTACAGAAGCTGTGGTACTCGCTAGGCTGAGCTTTTTAACTTCAGTTGTTTCAGGCAGATTGAATTCCAGGTTGAATAAAGACTGTCCTTACTGCCTTTTAAAGGAGGAACAGGTAATCTTGGTCACCATGTGATGTCCTGATGAGAACATGAGGATTAAGTTCAAACTAGGTGATCACCTTCGAAGTTCAGGTGCTCTGTCTGCAACCTGTCCTTTAATATCCTTCCCTTTCACATCTACTGCTTGCTCCGTTTTGAAAACAAGAGTTGCTCACTTTTTGTCTGTCCTTGACCAGCACACCCCCGTATTTTATGCATCTGTTCTCCTATGTCGTGTGACCTGGTGGTGAGTTTCACAGATACTGAAGGAGCAGGGAGCTCCTGAGGGTCCTCCAGGGAATGCTATGTATATTTATGCTGTCAGCATCAGTAAGGATTAAACCATACTGTTGCTGGTTTTTGTTGATATTTGCAATCTGCTGTCCATGGGGTTGTAATTGCTTCCTCAAATGATCCCATACAGTCCCTGTTCCTTGGAGTTCCTGTGGGCTCCCTGGACTCCCAGGGCTTAAATGAGTACTTCAGTAACAGAACAGGGGCCCTGCCGTGTTTTCTTTGAAAGTCACTGTCTTCTAGGGGCCTTTCTGTCAAGCTTGCCCTGCTCTTTGTGTGCCGGGGCTTGTGTGCTTTGTTACACGAAGAGGAGGCATTTGGAATAGTAGTTTTGAAGACCAGCTTGCTGAAAGGGAACTTCTTAAAGTAGTTTGTAAGAAGTGCTGCGGTGGTAAGTATAAGCAAAGTCCCAGAGAGGAGCATGTTCTTAGCACTCACTCCATGCTGAAAGGAATTGCATTTGAGATTCGCAGTCTTGCAGGTTAAGTGTGTAAACCTTTCCTTTTGAAAACCAAAACTGTGGCAGGAAAAAGCCAAATGGCTTTGGTCAGTGACTGCACACTTGTGTTTGCTGTGAAAGAACAAGCACCTGAGTGGTTTGTACAAAGCCTTTCTACCTTCCAGCACCCCCATGGTTGTGGAGTGAGGCTGCAGTGCAAGGACTCTCAGCCTTCATCCCCAGGTTTAGCTCTTTGAGGGCTCCTCTGGGTAATGGGATACAGCTTTGAACCACTGAGAGCGAAGGTGAATCAGCTCAGTTTTTGCTCAAATTGTTGGCATTTGGTAAAAGGAGAAACCTTGCTTCTTGAAACAAGCTGAGCTTGTGCTGAACCCCAGCTGTCATCTGAAAATGCGGTGGTTTCTCTGAACTTGTCAAGACTGAGTTTGCTCTGGATGCGTCAGTTAAGATTTGCAGCTGCCTGTAGACATAATACTGACAAAAATTGGATGCCTCCAGTGCTTGGTCGCATGCCCCTAAGCTGCTTATGTATGAATTAAGGGTAAATCTTCAACAGTGTTGAGAAGATGCTTAGAGAAGCATTCTTTGGAACATAGAATTTTGTTTGTAGCACTCTGTAGATTTCTTTTTCCTTGCAGGACCATATGCACATATGCTGTGCATGAGGTTGTGTGTTCTGTATCACTTGTGGCAGTATCTGTGGTGTGTTATGAAGTGTTGGCATTGGCTTGGGGCTGCAGTTGAAATTGAGTTACAGAGAAGACTGAAGAGAGGAGAACCCTGTTGGCACATTGCCTGTCAGTCCCAGCACCTTCAAGGCCACTTGGGAAGTGAGTGCTCCTGCCCTGCCTTCTGGAGCACCGTGATGAAGAAAGTTTCCTGGAGTGCTCCTGTGGCTCAGTTGCTGTCTCTTCGGCAGTTTGAGACTCCAAAAGGTCTGATTGTCTCCGCAGGTTGTTACATGCCTCTCTGGGTGTGGCAGGAAGATCCAAACTGAGAAAAAGAGGCCGCTTTCCTGCTTGCTTATGCATACCTTTCCTCTTGGAAGAGCTTAAGGCATCACAGGTACAGTGCTAGGTGGAATACCAGTGCTATTAGGCTCCAGGTTAGCACATGAAAATGGATTACTGCTTCTGAAAGCAGCTGTAACGCTGGCTGCTGACAAAGAAACCTGACATCTTGGTTGTTTTCAAATGTCACGAGTACTTGCATCAGCTCTAAAAGGCCGGAGGTCTTTCACATAAAGCATGGGTTTGAATAATTTCCTTCATTTCAATATATGGAGGAACTTGGTTTGAGAAATAGTCTGAGCAAATAATGGCTCAGACTGGGAAACTAAGGAGTCAGTGGCTTGTCTGTGCCTTTGCCCTCGTGACCCAGAGTGGCGTGGGTTAATGAGTTTTACCTTTGGACTTTGCTTCTGTACAGAACTGCTGAAACACAGACTTTGTAAATGCTCAGGTTTTAAACAGCTTTGCTGAGTCAAGACCATTGTGATCTTACTGTAGAAGTTGTACTTTTAATTTATCATTTTCATTTATCCCTTTGGAAACTGAGGATGAAGCTTTCTATGGTCGTACGCAGAGTGACTAAGACTGTATTCAGTTAAATAATAAGATATGCCGTTCCTTTCCTTTTTTAACGGATTCCAAGAATCCTGAGTCTTTATTTAGTCCACTACTGTGGATACTGTCTATTTTTCCAGGAATCCGGGTCCTCTTTTTTTTTCAGACTTGGCTTCTCCAAGAAGTTTTTGATCCAGATGTTCTAAGTAGCAGGATCTCAGGAGACCTGTACAGAGAATAGGGACTACATATGAAATAAAGGGCTTTAAGAATATTACGTTTTACTCTCTGCAAATAATCTCTGTATTTCTGAGAGAAAACTTCTGAAGCAGGATTGACATCCTGCACTATACAGGGAAGAACAAACCTAGTTCAGAGTGTGGTAGTACTTGTAGTCTGATAAGAAAAAGGGCCTGTGTTTCAAAATCATAGCTACTGGTTTCAGTATTAAGTCTGAAATAATGCGAATTTGATGCATTTATATCACACACATGTTTGGAGGTGACTGGTCACACATAATTTGGAGTTCTGAATTTAGGAGTAGGGTCTACTGATACCATAGATAAAGTCATCTGTGTTAATAAGTAGGACCCTTTCATAATGCCATTCGTTGCTTTTAACTTTCCTAATTTTGGTGTTAAAGGGAAGGTAGAATAACAAAAAGGATTGTAGTGTTGCTTTCCCACCTTTGTCTCCCCAAAAAGGGAATTACTGACCATAGAAGGGAAGAGAAAGAATGAAAATAATTGTGACTGAGTCATCTGAGATATGAAACGGTGTCTATGATGTTGTCTCCTCTCCTGTGTGTGTTCTGTTAAATGAGGCCTATCAGAGTGAGCAGGGGCTGTTCAGGAGGAGATGGACTGAGAACAGGACTGCAGTGCGTGGGAGGAAGGACAGAAAGAGCTGGATGCGCTGTGGGGGATGATACGAGTACACTGCTTTTATCTGCAAGCGAACAAAACCGATATGAGCTGCAAGTGGAGTTGTCCAGAAGCTGGGAGGACTCCAGAAGCCGTCCTCTGATGGAGAGGACCTGCATAGACACCCAGCACTGGCTGCTCCGCTGCCTCCCGTGCAGGCTGGGCTCTCCAGGGCTGTGGTTGTCTGACTCCCTGGGGTTCACTCTCTAGTT